TCTGCGGAAAGAATCCGTTCCGAGACGAGCAAGAAGCGCGGCTGCGGCTGGCAAAGGAAGCCGACAAGCTGAGGGAGGACTGATGCTGGGATTTCGGAGTTCAGGAATCTGGGCTTCAGGGTTCTGGGGTTTTGGGGTTGACGACTTTAGGGTTTCGGTGTTGCTGCGATGTTGCTGTCCACAAGCGAATGCTGTGCAATTTTGCAGCAATGATGACAGCAGGACGGATGCCTGCACAGGGTTCCGGCTTTAGTCACGAATCTTTCCCATGAAACACCTTGTGTTCGTGACCCGGGAGGATTCTAAAACCTAAACACCTTGCGAGTGCCCTCAGGCCACGCGAAGAAACGGTCCGATCCGCGCTGTTCCGGAAAACTGGGGGTCCATGATGCTGCTGGTACTGGCCTCCTTGCGCTTCTGTTGGCTGCATCAGGCGGCTGTGTTGGTGTCCAGTGCCAGACCCTGTGTACACTGTAATGCTTCATAACTCTCTACAACTTCTATAGGAAACTTTAAGGGAGCCCTTCAATGAGCCCTTGAACCCTCAACTGATACCAAGCACCAAGATGCCGCAGGATGGCGACGCACGGGCTGCAGGACTCCTACAGCGTCTCTCTGAAGGCGAGGGTTCATTGGGTTGATGGGAGGTTTCCAGGGCTTTGAGAGTTTAGGTGCGTTTTGGGTTTCTGGTGTCTTTGACTCTGAGGTATCTTCAAGCGTTTGGGGCTTGAGAGAATTTTGTTACCTGTTATAGTTACCAAGTCCCCAGATTCAGGTGTGTGGTTCCGCCTTGGGGTTATGGGGTATCGAGCAAACCCGTTCTTGAGATCCTTTCAGAATTAGCTTGTTTTGCGATTTCGGCTTTAAGTCTATGACTTTGAAAATGTGTGCTTTCTAGTAGAACCACGTGAATCCCAAGCTTCAAGCCTCAAGAGTATAACTGTATCAGATAGAAAGAGTCCGACAAATGAGCTCCCTTTTTCATGAGTGGGATAGGGGTCAAAAAATCATTAAGTTAGGATCAAACAACATTAAATCAGGATCAAAAAAATACACGATAAAAATACAATAGGAGCTAGGGAAGGAAGGAAGGAAGGAAGGAAGGAAGGAAGGAAGGAAGGAAGGAGGAAAGGGACCCTCCAACCCCCCGGCTTTTTTTGAAGCCGGGCAAGCTTGCTTCAGAGCACACGAATACCTTCCACACCCATGATGCGAGCATTGTGCATGC